ATCTTTGAAATGCTTTTTTCCCCCTGCCAACCAGAAGAACGTTTCCTCTTAGTCTTAGAAAATTCATCGGGCATTAGTTTTTTTTTTAGCCAGTCTGCTTTCTGGCATTCTTGCAAACACGCCCAGTCCATCTGACTAATACTTTTTGTATGACCGTTACGAGAAACTGGGGATCAGTCGCAATTTCAGTTTGTCCACATCCTCACAGGCAACCAACAGTGTAGATCCCACTGGGGTGCTGCATCAAGAAACAGGCCCTGGCCATTAAGTTTGACCTCCGTGATTGCCGTGGTCCAGCGAAAACAAATTCAGTCTTTGATTATGGACCCGCCCTAATTAGGTAAACATACAGAATAGACGCATTGCATGATTACATTCAGATGGTTTTCGAAAACAGCAGATTAATGTTGATTAGGTCCACACAGGCATTGAAGCGTTTAGCACCGTGATCTCGCCTCAGAAACAATTGTTGCACTTATCTTCCCTCGTGAACGTTATATCATGCCATTTTTTAAAGGAAATTTATCTGAAGTTCAACTCTCTGACATGTGATAAGCTTCCAATGTACTATTGTGTGCAGTATATAACTTGAAATAAAATATTTGGGGAAAATCGTTGATGAATATTCAAAGACCTTTTGACACAAAGGGGAATAAATTATTAAAAATTATAAAATGTTTTTTTTTTTTTTTACAAGCTTGGGTGATATCCCTTTACAGAGCCCGGCTATTCCTTCACATTGGTTCTGATCTATGATGCCATTTGGTTAGTGAAGTTGGTGAAACGCGAGGCAAGCACTACACAAACAAATCTAACGTCTAATCAGACAACACGGACAGTAAGACAGAAAATTGAATAATACTACTACTTTGTGCCCGTCCCTGAGCTATATGACAATTTTAATATAAACTCACCCCCCCCCCTTTTTTTTAATACTACAAAATGAAGAGGAATAGAAGTAGAAGGGTACTAAACGTATATCCATATAATTAAAGAAAATAATTGCATTAAACAGCTAATCTTTTGCTGAAAAATTATTTTAAATATATTTTAAAACTTTGTTTAGAATGTGTGCACCAGACAAAAGCAACTGAACTGTAACTTTCCTCGAAGCCATTTGAGAAGATTTGGACCAATTAACAAACAGTCACACAGAGTTGGGTTTTTTTTATAGTAGATTAGACAGTGGTCACGCCATGTTAAAATCTTAATGGCGACCCCTAGGTACTTATATTATATCTCTACTTGTTCCATCCTGTGATTTTTTTGTTAGATCACCAATTTGGCGAGTCCCCCTCCGGGGATTGACAACCACTTCTTTGTTGTTTTTTTTAGACATTCCACTGAAGGAAAATTCATCACACCAAAGCATAAAACGTATGACTAAGTTGTGGTATAAATATTATCCCTTGGTACATTAAGCCAATGATGGTGGTATGTTTCATCAGCAAATTTAACAATGAAACGGCGTCGTGCGGGCTCTGGATATCATTGGCATATATTGTATACCGGTACTGGACAGGGCAAAAAAAAAAAAATCAAACACAGTGACTGCCTAAAGGATGGATTTAAATCATAGGCTTTATGTCAATGTTAATGAACAATAACTGAAGTACCAGGTGCTGAACAATTTGCAAAATATTTTCCTTAACTAATGTTTGTTTGCACAGGGACAACCTGTTTTCCAAACCTGTGATTAGCAGGAGGAAATTTCACACAAGGCTAATCCGTACCGGTAATGGAAATAAAAAAAATTGCCTACCTTTGGGTGCGGTAACTTTTTACATCTGTAAAAGTAAAAGATACATCTGTAAAAGTAAAAGATACATCTGTAAAAGTAAAAGATACATCTGTAAAAGATACATCTGTAAAAGTAAAAGATACATCTGTAAAAGATACATCTGTAAAAGTAAAAGATACATCTGTAAAAGTAAAAGATACATCTGTAAAAGATACATCTGTAAAAGTAAAAGATACATCTGTAAAAGATACATCTGTAAAAGTAAAAGATACATCTGTAAAAGTAAAAGATACATCTGTAAAAGTAAAAGATACATCTGTAAAAGTAAAAGATACATCTGTAAAAGTAAAAGATACATCTGTAAAAGTAAAAGATACATCTGTAAAAGTAAAAGATACATCTGTAAAAGTAAAAGATACATCTGTAAAAGTAAAAGATACATCTGTAAAAGTAAAAGATACATCTGTAAAAGTAAAAGATACATCTGTAAAAGTAAAAGATACATCTGTAAAAGTAAAAGATACATCTGTAAAAGTAAAAGATACATCTGTAAAAGTAAAAGATACATCTGTAAAAGTAAAAGATACATCTGTAAAAGTAAAAGATACATCTGTAAAAGTAAAAGATACATCTGTAAAAGTAAAAGATACATCTGTAAAAGTAAAAGATACATCTGTAAAAGTAAAAGATACATCTGTAAAAGTAAAAGATACATCTGTAAAAGTAAAAGATACATCTGTAAAAGTAAAAGATACATCTGTAAAAGTAAAAGATACATCTGTAAAAGTAAAAGATACATCTGTAAAAGTAAAAGATACATCTGTAAAAGTAAAAGATACATCTGTAAAAGTAAAAGATACATCTGTAAAAGTAAAAGATACATCTGTAAAAGTAAAAGATACATCTGTAAAAGTAAAAGATACATCTGTAAAAGTAAAAGATACATCTGTAAAAGTAAAAGATACATCTGTAAAAGTAAAAGATACATCTGTAAAAGTAAAAGATACATCTGTAAAAGTAAAAGATACATCTGTAAAAGTAAAAGATACATCTGTAAAAGTAAAAGATACATCTGTAAAAGTAAAAGATACATCTGTAAAAGTAAAAGATACATCTGTAAAAGTAAAAGATACATCTGTAAAAGTAAAAGATACATCTGTAAAAGTAAAAGATACATCTGTAAAAGTAAAAGATACATCTGTAAAAGTAAAAGATACATCTGTAAAAGTAAAAGATACATCTGTAAAAGTAAAAGATACATCTGTAAAAGATACATCTGTAAAAGTAAAAGATACATCTGTAAAAGATACATCTGTAAAAGTAAAAGATACATCTGTAAAAGTAAAAGATACATCTGTAAAAGTAAAAGATACATCTGTAAAAGTAAAAGATACATCTGTAAAAGATACATCTGTAAAAGTAAAAGAAGTCCTGGCTTAGGAATATAATCATGAATCTGTTGTCCCGATGTTTTAAAAATATATTTGTCACACTCTTTAAAACTGCTCAAAATTGACTGGAAGGAAGATAGAGAACAGATTGACAGTAATTAAATTGTAACTGGCAAAGAGATTGTATGTGTACTGGTAATTGAAACACATACAATTTTTAATTTGAGAATGTTAGTTTCACAGACACCGCTGGTCCTAAATTTACCTTTTACAAACATTCAGCTTTAACTTTAAAGGAAAAGGTTTTGGAGAACTAAAAGTAATAACAAATAACAACTATTTGTTCAATGAAATAAATTTATTAACTGTAACTCATTGATAAGTAGTAATATATTTACACAAAAGTGAACTGTGATAAAATAAGTTTCAGGGTAACAGTAACAACAGTGATTCTTTAGTCCTTGAGTTATGTACAAATGTAGAAAAACAAAACTACCGGTACTAACAAAGATCTGCTTCAGGCCAGGCAAAGTTTCAGTTATAAAAGAAAGTTGAAAAGGCAGGAAGAAATTAGAGGAAACATTTTCTTTACTTTACATTTTTAATTCTGAAAGCTATCTGCACTGTATTTCTTCAATAGAACTTTTTAAGTTTGCAAAATCAGTAATGCTAAATAAATGAAACGTAGATGTAGAAATATACTTTGCCTAAAACAATGAGGCACCATGCATTACCCTCAAACCCATGTGCATGAAAAGGTTGGCCTGAATAAATAGATTTATCATGATATTAAAATAAAGTTCTTCTATAAGGAAATACATCGGTATCTTGACGGTTTTTAAAAATATGAATGTTTCTAAATAAAATAAGTTTACAGTATTTCATTATTCTCTTTATACAGATGGAAAGAGATAGCGGCCAAATGATGATAACGCCATAAATGAGTATAGTTACATGATGTATTTGTTGTTACAGCCCTCCCTCACCGTCAACCAAATGATTATTACATTTTATTACTTGATAGACAAGGAATGTTAAAAATACAGACCATTTTATTTCCCTCCCAATCTAGATTAACTGTATTGCACTTTTAATATAATAACACACCAAATTATCTTTAAAAAAAAACAACACTCAGTTGTTGGCCATTCGGTTCAAAATATAGTCTAAAAATGAAATATTCCAGAAATGATGACATAATCATTGTTGCGGTATCATGGACGATGCAGTTTCTAATTAAAAACACAGTTAACTCATTCTCTTACCACAGGAATAGGATAAATCCTAACAATTGGGTACAAGGGGAGGGGAGGTTGCCCTCTGAAAATATTAGTTTGTGACACACACTATTTGATTTTTTGTATCTTTCATCCCATCCTGTATACATTTTTTTTTTAAATTATGTATATTTGTGCATTCAGCGTGGCATCATGTACTATTCTATCCTGCAGTCAATCAACTATTAAAACTATTAATTATCTTATGTTCTGAGCTTTTCCGAAGTTAAGATTCTAGTCCATTTTTTTTAAAAAGCATATATGAATTTATTATGTATATAATACAACCTCAAACATAGTTCGGTGGTCAAAATTAGCAATAATTTCATGTTTCTTTGAATTCTTCAAATATAATGACGATTATTAGCATGACTATTAACAATCCATGAATAGAACAAGCACAGGCGACATTTTTGTGAAATGAGTTTGTGATGATTGAAATGTGATGAATCATCATTTTTAGTAATTATCGTAATACAAACATAACAGTGTACCAAAGCCGACCAGATTCTGTTCTCTGATGTTACTATTTCAAAATTACTTACAACTTAAGTAATAATTTCAGGGGGGGGGTAATAATTTCAGGGGGGGGGGGGAATCAATACCTTAAAAATGCAAGCCAAGATAAAGTTTGACCAAACACTTGAGTTTCATATTCTTTTTTAAAACTGTGGAAAAGGTTGGGCATTGGAAAGGAACATTCATCTGATCAAGAATTCATCAACGTGCATGCCGGCTGCATTTTGGGCTCTCTAACAAACAGAATCCATCGAACGAGTTTACACGATGCGTACTGCGATCTCACATTTTGCCACAAATGGAGAGTTGGGAATACCTAACTAGCTCTAACTTACTGCCTCCTCCTCACCCGTTCGACACACGACTCTGTATAATACAGTAATTCTTCATTTAAAACGTTCTATTTAAGTTATTATTTATTTGTTTTAGTGCTTTTGTTTCATTGATAGTACTTATAGTTCTTATCTCACGAACATCTTTAGGATATAGATGTAATCAACAGTGAACCTTGTAACATTTTACCTAAGAACAAATTCATGGTAAAAACTGTCTTTCCGAATGTAACTCATTCGCATGGTGGGGAGAGTCTCTATTATGCTTAACTTTTGCGACTGTTTAATTAAGTACATCTCTACATTTTTAGCGTCTAGCAACCCCAAAAGCCTAATAGTTTAATATTTTTTAAAAAATAAAAAAAGGTAATTTTTGAATATCTAAACTTAAATTCTCACATCGATTGAGACAGTAAATGGATAAGAAAAAAATACATTCTTTGGTTACCACACATAACTTTCACCAGTATCATTTAACATCGGACGTACTTGTACAGCTAGCTACTAAATATTCACAAATGCAAACAAACAAGACAAAGCGTTCAAGGCATACACAAACTTGATGAATCCTCAGAATGATAAAATCGAATGTCATCTTGTGGGTATATGTTGCCTGGATCTGTCATTGGTATCTTGCTAGTCATACGTTCACGCTCTGCCCTTTCGTAAGCTAGATCTTGGGCTATTCTTGCTTCGAATTCTTCTGAGATTTTAGGCGCAGGCATTTCAGTTGATGCTGGTGTATCTTCTTCGATCTTTTGTTCTCCCTCCTCAGTAGATGCCTTTGTGTCGTGCCAGGGAATTGTAAATCGCGTAACTCTGACTTCTGATGATAATATGTTTCTTGTAAGCTGGAAAAAAACATAATTTCTTTAAGCTGCATGTATAACAATATTAAGAATAGAGGGAAGAATTTGATAAAATGTACAATAGGAAATTTATAATAGTAGTTTTGGTGAAGAATTTTTTTAATATAATTTTTCATAAATTATATATTTATGAATTTATTAATTTTAAGTTAGTTCAAATCAATTTAAATTCTCACTATAATTAAAAAAGTAGAAACTTTTTAACAAAGTGTAATCAAAAGAGAGTAAAAGTCAGTGCTTGTACTGAACTTCATGAAATGATTGTGTAGAATATAAGACTGCTGATAATATGAAATAAAAGTTGTGGGTACTCAATACAGCTATTTACTAATACTAATGAATATATGACAAGATTTATTTCATATTTGGGATGAAAAATATTGAGTGAATAGCTTAAACCAGTATTTCCCAAACTTTTGTTTTAACGACCCGATTATTTTTTTTACGTCTCCTTCTTGACCCATAAACATTTGTATCGCCTATACTGGCTTATAGGAAATATACAACAAATATGAATGTCCAGTTTTCCTATATTATAATAAAGTATTAAACACTACAAGAATGTAAAGAAATCGAACTTAACAAAAATTTATTCATGAGTAAATGAGTACGTCACGATAATCTAACCAAGATTTTCAGATGTATTTTTTTTCTTTCTTTGACCAGGTAATTTTGCTTTTGTGGCCCGGTACCAGGTGGCGCCCGGCATTTGGGAAACGCTGGCCTAAACCAAGTAAAGCTAACAAATCAATGGTATGAAATTATTCTATACTTTGTAGTTCATTTTTAAAATAAAATCTTTTTTAAAGCCCTGCCTGTATGCCATGAAAAATGTAACAGAAGAGCCAAGATTTTACAATATAACAAAAGGCAAATTTTTAAAAGAAATCTTACACACCTTATTGTATTGAACTTCAGCAGGTGGATTCTCTTTTAGTTCTGGGTCATCATATTCATTGTTCACATAATAGCCAACACGTATAAACTCTTTCCCTCTGTATGAACAGGTCAACAAAACAACAGTGACCCCCATGATATCATCCACTGGGATTTTCTTCACATCCGGAGGATCAGCCTATAATTAATACAATTACTCATTCAGTAATTAAAACAAGGAAATGTATCTGCAACAATTACAATAATGAAACGTTTTTTTAATAGTTTTTTTTTAATACATTTAAAACATTTTACATTAAAAACAAATAAGTAACATGTAAATTAAAAAAAAAAATTCTGAATACCTCAAACACAAACATATGCTTTCCCCCAGGTACAGGACCAACTAAGATGGTATCCAACACTTGGTCATATTCCATACTTTCTGCAGAACCAACATAAATGATCCTCCATTCTAAGTCTGAAAAATAAGTCATACATTTTTATAATAAAACTGTCAATTTAAGAAGAGACAATGTCCTTTCAAATGTCAGCAATTAATTTGACAAGTTTTCTTTTTTTTTTCTTAAACTGATAACACCAACAGTAATATAGTAAGATTTTGAGTAATGCAGACAAAATTTAATGTTGATAGGTCATCACTTATAAAAATATAACAACAATATTTTAAAGTAAAAACTTCAAAATCTCATGACTTTGCTTCATATCATATTTTCATAAGGCTAAAATAATAGCTTTTATAATTAGCTGAAAATATTATACAGGTCTAGGATACTTATGATTAAATATTTTAAATAACTGGCTTTTAACTTAATAATTCTGTTTCGAGATGAATCTTAGGCCTTATGTTATTCACGTCTGTGATTTATTTCACACCACTACCTGCTACCTTACCATAATTTCAGTTCCACTAAAATAAAAACTTACAATAAATTAATTTAAAAAGACAAAAAAACCTGAAGGCCTAATTGTCTACACATAGCAGTATTAAGTTATTTTAATAAAAACACCTCACATTAGTAGTTACCTATTACTAAAATGCAAATAGTATTTCAACCCAGGTAATAGAATTACCACTTAACAAATGAAGAGGCTAACTATATCAAAATATTTCAGGTTGTTATCCAGTGGAAACAAGACCAAGAAAATACTTGATTAATATCATGAAGAAAGATGACAATCATCAGCAATTGTTAGATATTTTCAAAAATAACAAATTTCTAGGGCTAAATATTGATAAAATGCGCCTCCCCAATGCCAATGTGATGAATAATGCCAATCCAAACAATTTACATTACATTTATTGTCTTGTCATTGGTGGTGACTGGGCATTGTTTGACTTTTTAAAATCAAATTTACAAACTACAACTGACAATAATAGAATATAATATTTTATATTAGGCCTTCTCTTAGCCTATGGCTACTGGCGTAACTTAGGTGCTTTACCTGTTTAAGCATAAATCTATCAATTCAATTAGGCCTGACTTAGTCTTATGGTCTATGTCTACTATGCCAAGTAATTTTTGTCTGACTCTCAGTGTTCTTAATTATTGTTTTTGTGGATTAAGGCATTCAGCCAGTTTCTTTCATGCCTTGTACTACTTTAATTAATAGCCTACATCTTCTCAATATTTCATGAATGGACAATCATCAGCACAGGCCTAATAAGTGTAATATTAATATAGGCATATAATATAGTCATATAGGACCCAATTTGCCCAATGTCAAATAGTAAAAAGGTAACCTACATTTTAAGCTAAAAAAAAAAATAATCTTAACTTAAGAAGGTAAAGGTACCCCCCCCCCCCCCCTGTTAAAGAGGCCTAAGCCTAAAATAATTAATGTAATATCAGAGCACTACAAGACAAATTTCTTTCAATAAGGTGGGATGTGGCACACTAGTAGTAAGAATTCCCCTAGGTTAGTTCTAAAGGCAAAAATTGTGATCACGTCACTCCACTACTTCATTGGCTCCCTATACAAGCATGCATTGATTACAAACTGTTCTCTGCCGCAACTTTTTCTCAGATTCCTGCCCTTCCTATCAAACTTAACTTCTTTCTGTCTAAGCCCCTTCAACAGCTTCACTCATAAAGAATATGCATGTCTGCAGGGGTTCCCAAGACACGTACTAAAACATACGGTGAATGATCTTTCTCTTTCTGCACCGCCAAACAATTCTCTCCTACGAGCTACATATCTGCAATATACTAACCATCCAGGCCTTCAAAACTGCACTCAAGACACATCTCTTCAAACTACTATCCCGACAGATTCCCACACTCCTACTTCAGACCAATAAACGATGTCTTCCATGGCTTGACATGTAAATAGTTCTGGGGTGGGCGGGGTGAATATTTTTTTATAACGCCGTTTTTTAATTAATGAATGTAACCTTTTTAATCAATGTCATGATTATTTTTGCTAATATTTTTATGTAAAGCTCTGTGAGCCCAGCCCAGGGGACAGCACTATACTATATAAGACTACGTCCACTAACTGTAATAATAATTGTGACTTAGTCTAATAACTAATTAACTGGTTAAATATTAATAATGGCCGAAGTTGCTGCCTAATAACTGAAACTGTAGCATATGTCATGAAAAACTTCTACCGTGGCCTGAGATAAATCTGTGAGTTGCCACCTCAGGCTCTCCCCCCCCTCCTTAGTGTAGATGGTTCTACACTCATTACTGACAAGGAGAAAATCTTGGAAAGACGGGCGGAACACTTTGATAGTGTGCTCAATACGCCTTCCAACATTAATGACGAGGGGATTGAAAGACTGCCCCAGGTCCCAACGAACAAGTCACTGGACGCCATCCCAACTTTAGATGAGATACAGACAGCAATCAGCCAAATGTCCAATGGCAAAGTATCCGGCTCCGACATGATTCCTGCCAAAATCTACAAAGAGGGTGGACCAGCGCTGATGGATAAGCTATTGCGTCTATTCCAGATCATCTGGCAGACGGAAGCTGTACCACAAGACCTCAAGGATGCCTTGATTATCCACCTGTACAAACACAAAGGAAACCGCCAGGCCTGCGACAATCACCGAGGAATTTCACTGCTGTCCATTGCAGGCAAGATCTTGGCCCGAGCCCTTCTGAACCGCCTGAATGCACATCTGGAGCTAGGTCTCCTACCTGAAAGTCAATACGGTTTCTGCAAAAAACACGGAACTATCTATATGGTGTTTGCTGCTAGGCAGCTTCAAGAGAAATGTCAGGAGCAAAATACAGACCTATATTCATTTATCGACTTGAATAAGGCTTTTTGACAGGGTCAATAGAGGTGGCCTGTGGAAAATCATGAAGGAGTACGGATGCCCAGACAAGGTCACCAACATCATCCGTCAGCTGCATGATGGCCTGAGTGCAAGACAACGGTCAGTCATCTCAAGCTTCCCCATCACAAACGGTGTGAAGCAGGGCTATGTACTTGCTCCCACACTCTTCAGTACTATGTATTCTGCAATGCTATCTGATGCGTTCAAGGACTCCACCAGGGGCTTGCCAATCCGGTTTCGCACTGATGGATCAGTCTTCAACCTTAGGAGGCTTCAAGCTAAAACCAAGGTCAAACATAACAACATCAACGAGCTTCTGTTTGCAGACGATTGTGCTCTCAGTGCCGCCTCAGAAGCCGTCATGCAACACAGCATTGATATCTTCTCCGAGGCCTGCAATAACTTTGGCAACACAAAGAAGACTGAGCTGATGTATCAGCCAGCTCCCAGTAAGCCCTACGTTGAGCCCAACATGATCATCAGCAGACAGCGTCTCAACCCGGTGGATAAGTTTACTTACTTGGGCAGCACCCTCTCCAGATCTGTCGTCATGGATGATGAAATGAATGGCAGACTCGCAAGGTCTATAGCGCAGCAGTCATCTCGACATTGCTCTGCGGATGTGAAACGTGGAAGTCTACCAGCGTCACGCAAAGAAACTGAATCATTTTCACACAACGTGCCTCAGGAAACTCCTTGGCATCAGGTGGCAAGACAAAGTCCCTGATACAGAGGTCCTCGCTAGAGCGAATCTACCTAATATCTTCACCTCCCTGATGCAGTCTCAACTCCGTTTGGATGGGACACTTGCCCATATGGAAGACCACAGGATCCCAAAACAGATATTCTTCGGAGAACTCATAATAGGCAAGCGCTCCCAAGGAGGCCAAAAAAAGGGTTGTAAAGACTCATTGAAAGTGGCCCTAAAGGTAGATACTTCGATGAAACAAGGGAGACTACTATTTTTTTTGTATCGGAAATGGGCGTCGGCGCCGAAAAATCCGAGTTTTTAATTTTCCGATGTGTGTGTCTATTTATTATTAAATTAGTTCTTTCCACATAGATTTGAGTTCCGTTTCCGGCCTTATAATTTGGAAGACATCTTGGCCTACATTTCTAGCCAGCTATTTTGCTTTTTTCAATCGACCTTTATTTTGAAAATCTTTGGTATATATAAGGCATCTTCGCATACAAAATTTTTTGTGAAATAATAAGATAAGGTCCTTTTTGATTAAATCTGTATGAGCATTAGATATTGATCTATATCTGTGCCAAGTTTCATTGATGTAGGTCGTGTCTCACGTTTGTTACACTTGTCACAGTGACCCATATCACCATAAGGTGGCTCAGCCAAATTTCGACATGGCGTGGGCCACGCCCCCTTTTTAATGGCGGAAGTTGCCGATACTTAGGAAATATTTAATTATTACCACTATATACATCAAAATATTTTATATTTTGTGTTTCAGAATGCATTTTGAAGACATTTAAACTGGAAATGTTTTAATTTGAGCTTTAAAAACCCTGCAGAGTCCATATTATAAATGATCAGAATTTTCCCTGTGCAACACGTTGTCATTGGCAACCATTCACAGCCACTTGCATAACGGCTACGTCGTAGTACTATCTCAGAGTTTCATTCATAAGAGTTTGCCGTGTGCAAAAGCTATTAAACCATTGGTCAGGGAAAGCTTTTATTAATTATTCATGTGCCAAAGTTGAAAGTTTAAAATAAGTCGACCCTAAACAGTATTTTAGCGATAGGGAATGCGTTGCCTTATATAAACTATATAGGCATTGCGCATGACGCGATCAGTGGAATGAGGTCACAGAATGTGGAGATGCAGTCCATGTTAAAAAAGGACAAACCAAGTCGTACTTTAAAAATTCATAACTTTAAAACTACAACAGCTAAAAATATGATTTTGGTGTTATAATTCTGTTTAAAATTAGCTCTATTCAACTGTGCCATTGGTTGATTTTTTAAAAAATGTTTACATTTTTGACCAAAGTATCTACCCTAAAGGTCTTCAGCAACAAACCTACTCAATGGGTGCAGACAGCCCAGGACAGAGCCTGGTGGAGAGCAGCTGTCAAGAAGGAGGCTAAATCCCATGAAGTTAATAGGATAACCACAGCTGAGACATGCTTCTGCAGCAACTATCCCATGCCCGCGGTGCCAGAGATTATTCCGAGCACGGATCGGTCTAGCAGCTAGCAAGTGTAAGAGCTCACACTAACCCACCCTCCCCCTCTAACCGGATGACTCTATGGTCCTAGTCGACTTCGACTGACGAACATGTCATAACACAACTTATTTCTTTGTAAAATTAGTGAGTCGTCATTATTTTAAATTTAGTTAATTTAGATTTAGGTTTTTAGACTTTAGTTTTAGCTCTACTTTTTACTCTGATTTGTGCCTAGAATAGTAATTAGTAATAGAATAGCTAGCAAATGAATTACTAGAACTAGGATTCTAATAATAGTAGAAATATTTGTACCCGAAATATTTTTATAAATAAAGACCTTACTTAGTCTTCTTTAATTAACTTTAGGCCACTTAAAATTAGTTTAATAAATAGGCTCACAGTAGGTCTACACCTCTTTACAAGGCCTATTACTAATACTTCCACTACTTGACTACTAAGAAATAGTAGTACTTGTCTAGGCCTAGGCGTTAGCCTAATTTAATAAAAATTTTAAATTTAATTTATTTTTATTAAGTTTTAGGCCTAAATTACTAAAAATATTAACTAAACCAAGTCTAAGTTAACAAAGTCTACGGTTTAAGTCAAGTCAGGCTAGTTTTACCTTCAGGTAGATCTTCGAGGCATTCAAACGTTATCTCAAATTGAAAAGGTTTTAAAAAAGATGTTGGGTTATTTAAAACTGTTACATCACAAATATTAACCAAAGCCATTTTGACACAATCAGTACAATTTCAGGAAATGAATAAGATAAAGGTCCAAATCTCAGACCTAAGACTGATCAACAAAGTTATACGCGCCAAGCAGGGCTGCCACTCGCATCTTTAAAATTTCCCACGATTTGTTGAACAAATTTCCCAAGATTTCCCAAGATCATAAAAATATATAAGAGTTTTTAATGCCCCTGAAAAACATGGTACATTAATTGTTTGAAATTTATTGAAAAAGACATTTAAAAAAATTTTTATCACATAAAAGAAACAAACAATTTTTTTTTAAAATTATTTATAATCCAAAATATCAATACCCACTGGCTTCTAAATATTACCTCCAAATTCTCTGGTAAAAATATCATCTACAATACATGTCCAATACAAGTCACTTGGAAACAAAGCTTACAAGGCTAATCAACACAGAATTTCTTTTACAAGGGCAAAAGGTTCTTCATCAAAAAATGATTTTTCTTATTGTAAGTCTGTTGATTAGAAGTGGGGTTTGCAAAGCAATGAAGCAAAATTATTAATAATAATTTGTAGTAAAATGGATTGATATTATTATGAAAACAATAAGTATTTGTATTTTTTTCTTGTAAATTTATATCATAACGATTTTTAAACAAAATAACATACTTTTAAATGTATCATTTATAATCCTACAACTTAGACCTATACTTTTAATATCTTAGTTACCTGTGTTTCAATCCACAAATATTTTTTCCAATTGATGAAAATTAGGCTGGATTTTTTACAGATGCATTATATCTTGAACACATTGTAGAAGTAATTGAAATAATCAAATTTTACTATGGCATGGATCCTTGATTGAACACTACTATCGTTCACTCTTCGGCTTGTACTGTTTTTCGTATGGTTGCTAATGTCTAATAAATAGTCTAATGATAAAGTTTCCGAGCCTACTCCCCCCCCCCCAATTTAATAAGCAGTAAAAACCTGGATGTAATTTGTAAATCTTCAATTTTGTTAAAAAATAGAAGAGAAAATTGATACTGTTTTTCGTATGGTTGCTAATGTCTAATAAATAGTCTAATGATAAAGTTGCCGAGCCTCCCCCCTCCCCCCCCCCACCCATTTAATAAGAAGTCAAAACCTGGATGTAATTTGTAAATCTTCAATTTTGTTAAAAAATAGAAGAGAAAATTGAATTTTTCTTAAATTATTAACTTTGTAACAATTCGCAATAATAATAACTTTAATATCAGAAGAGTTTTTATTTATTTGATGAGTGGATTTAAAATTTAAAACCAGAAAAGACAATTTTAAAAAAAAATTTTTTGCCTTGTTACTTTAAAAATTATTTTGCTTTATTTTTACTTTATTTTTTATCACATATTGTTGCGTTTTTTTTAAAGAATATAATAAAATTTTCCCACCAGTTAAGATTTCCCAAGGTTTTGCCTGATTTTCTAAATTATTCCCCAGATTCCAAGGGGGGGTCGTGAATTCCCAAGATCTTGGGAAATTTCCCAAGGTGTGGTAGCCCTGGCGCTAAGTGTTTCATGCAGTGTATCCGTTCTGTAAAAGGTGTTAGTTCACTGATGTCAGGTTACGTTTACATTTTAAAGGAATGGAGTCTTCTCGCCATGCTCTTGATCCTTTCGCAAAACTAGCGACGAAAAATAATGTAGGCTTCATTGGCATTTGCATTATATATATATATACATACATTATACATATACATATATATATATATTATATATATATATATATATATAACGCTTAAATTTGAATGACAAAAGGATCTTATTGCGGATCTCAAAGGTTATGGGTAGCAGTGCTAGATAATAATATTAATAATACTAATAATGAAGATTATTTAATTTTGAAAATCACGCTTCATCCCCAAAGGCTCGAAGCGCGGTACATACTGAGAATGTTACATACCAAATTGAAGTACAAAATGCAACATTATAAAAACTACGTACGAGAATACTCATTCTAAGTCTTTCATACTTGCAACCATAAGCAACACAGGCCAATATACATCTACAAGATAATAGCTAGATAGACAACATCACCCCAGCAGGTGTTTGCGAAATAGATAAGTCTTCAAATCAGTTTTGAAAGACTCCAGTGTCTGGCTGTTTCTGAGAGCGACAGGAAGGGTGTTCCAAATTGTTGGGCAAGCAAATGCGAAAGCGCGGCCCTCGTAAGTCTCAAGGCGAACACATGATATCGAGTGTTTGCAACTGTCAGATGAGTGGAGTTGTCTAGTGGGCACATAAGGCGTCAGTAGCGCTTTGAGATAGGACGGTGCCAGTTCATGCAAGAGTTGCAATTTTGTACTCTATGCGAGAGCAGACCGGCAGCCAATGCAACTCTCTCAGAAGTGTTTTAGCATGGTCGAAATTGCGTTTTCGAAGAACAATGCGAGCCGCATTATTCTGTGCTTTTTAAATTTTATCCAGGAGCGTAGCTGGAAGACCCACCATGAGAGCATTGCAGTGGTCCATACGTTATAGCACACATGCAGACATCAGCCTCTTTGATGAGTCTAACGTTAAGAAAGGTCTGATATGACTAATTCTGCGCAGCTCTAGAAAAATTGCCTTGCAAAGCATGTTAATGTGATTTTCCATAGTTAGTTATCTGTCTAAGTAGACACCAAGGTTTCGCACTTTTTGAGCAAACTCAATCTGTATACCCGAGAGAGTAAGGGTTTGTGTGTTATTTATATATTTTAGATTTTGAGTGGTAGCAATGGGGATCAGCTCGGTCGTTTCGTCATTCAATTAGAGCTTGTTTATAGTCATCCAGTGCTTAACTGGATCCACTGTCTTCTGTGTCATACTAAGAAGCTGAGGGAACTAAGAGGGGATCACAGATATCTGAAGTTGGGTATCATCCGCGAACATGTGATATTGCATATCAAACTGCTTGATCACTGTACCCAGGGGCTGAACGTACATAGTGAAAAGCACCGTGCCTTGGACCGAGCCCTGGGGTACTCCGAATTCAATGATAGATTGCTTCGAGGTCAAGCCGTTTGGGTAACTAGGGTTAGTGCCGACCCAGGTGGGGGGGGGGGGCACTTTTTACCGCCCCCCTTCCACAAAAAAACCTGCAGTTTACAGAAAATACCACACCTTTATTCAAAGAAAAAGGTGCCAGCCGTGGCGGACCAACCCTCCACCCTCCCTACATACACATACAAGAGGTAGTACTATTAAAAGTCTATTATAAGCACAAATTCCGATGTCACCACTTCCGGCTTCTAAAAAAGGCGCTACACGCGCAGAACAGAATGAAAAAATTGACTCTCATGGAGCTACTTTGACTTTATCGAGATCTTCGTTTTAAACATAATTTTTAATTTTTAAATTAAAATTTCTCTGTTGTTTATTTTAATGTCTGATGAAAAAAATAATACAATGTATCAAGCCAAAACGTCAGCTTAATTGTCTTTTCTTTTACGAAGTGGCTATTCGCACCCGGGTCCCTTTAGACTAAATCCCATTTGGATGTCATTTGTGGTAGTTTATTTTAGTTAAACTGAAGAAGTTAGTTTACAGACATATAGTCCATTCAATTATTTTTCATTTGATACCTCATTTTGTCTTAAAAACCTAACAATAATATTTTAAATAGGTTTGAGACCCAACCTCTCATTTCTGACACCAGGGTGCGAATAGTCACAGCCTTTCTTTTATTTTCAAGTCTAAATATATCTTTTCCCCGTATTAACTTTGTTTCTTAGACAGGAGACTGGATACCTGTTTTAAAACAGGTTGTTAATTTGGAAAATAAGCTAATCCAGACTTATGGAATCTTGACACCAAATCGCATGAATGACATGTTCTCATTCACTTGTTAAAACTACCCCCCCCACCCCAACCTGCCTTGTTACGACCACTCGCAGGCAGTGGATTTACTCATCTTCCCCTCTTCTTTCCCTATTTGCCTGCATTTAATCTCAGCCTACGCCACGCCTACTTATTTTGTGTCGCATTAATCTTGCTGTCCTCTCAGATACTGAATTTCAGCAAATATTTTTTTTTTAAATTTAATTCTGTTTTCACTTTTGTTTGTTCACTGATGAAGGCTTCTTGCCGACACGTTCGTTGTTATGTTGCGTACTTTTATCCCCCCCAGAGTTTCCCATACTTTGTTTCGCTAATTTCCTACATAAAAAACGCCAATTGAGAAAATTCTAATTAATATAAGTTGTCGTATGTTGTTGATAATTTCCCTTTTGTTGGAAAGATAACTCTGACTGAAAGTATAGTTATCATAATAATACTAACTAATTGATAATTGCTTACTAATACTAATATATATATTTTCCGGATTTTCACTAATACTAATAATATTACTGTATTTTAGTAAAATAAAAATGATTCCACGTACAAGCATTGACGAAGCTAACCGTCATCTCCAGCAACTGCACCAACGCGTTCACGATCTTGAAATAACAGTTCAGGACCAGCATGAAACTTTACTAACGAAAGATAAGCTTTTCCAGAACAGAATCTCCGAAATATCGGTAGCTAAAGACAAAGAGATTGAAGGCTTGGTTAATAAGTTGCTTGCGTCTGAACGTACGGTTTCTGTGCTTCAAGAGGAGCTTGAAAGAAAAAATCATCAGATATTAGCGCTTCAACATAGCCATTCAAAACTAAGGAGGTTACTCAATTTCAAAGATGATGTTAAGGATTTGCTAAAAACAATGGAAGATGCTGAAGAAAATTTAGCTCTGGACGAAGGAGATACAGATGGACTTCTCTCATTTTATCAACGATCTAATGATGTTTCTTTAAACCTAAGTGGAAAAAAATTGCGTAAAAAACGATTTATTCGTTCTGAAAGTCATCCAGCTGTAGAAAATATTACAAGTGACATTGAAGCTGCCCCAACTTTAGGAGGAAAGGAATTTTATTTGTAAAGAATTCATCCCAAACTAAACAGTATTATGAATATGAGTAGGCCTACTTTCTATAGTCTATGTAATTATATGCCATAATTTAGGAATTGGAATTCAATTTAAAAATAGTAGCACTCATTTACGATTGTCTATTCCTAAAACTTTTACTAAAAGTACTAACTGAAACTGATTTAGGCTTATAAAATTTGTGACATACTTACATTAGAATTACCTTAAAACTGTCATGATTTTTGTCCTTATATTTTTACTAATGATTTATGCATGCCCAATTATTATTTTCCCCTCCAACGTCTCTTCAAATTTAATAAGCTTACATATTTTCTAATGTTGAAGATAATCATTTTATTAATTTCTATCATAATGAATGCTGTTGCATAGCTTGACTAAATTTTGCTGTGGCAAAGTCTTAAAAGTGTGCCTCCAACACACACACAGTCACACAGCAGTTATATATATAATGTTATATATAAACCCAAAAGCGGTCACCCCCTTCAAATCTGCTGTGCCTGTCACTTATGTATGTTCATCTTTTTAAAACAATTTTTAATGACAAAATTTATGAATGAGGCATCAAAAAACACATCACTCCAAAAATATTAAACTCTTTATCATAAATAATTGAGATGCAACATGGTTAATCGAAGGACCCCCAAATCAATAAATTTATTGACTCCACTACACAAGCCTATCTTACTTGTTCTATATATTAAATTATAATTTAATGGTGTAAAAGATTTTATATTCCTCTCACCATTGAAATTAACTAGTCACATTTTAGTATGCTTTCAGGAAGTCAGGGATATTTTTAGTGATAAGATGAATATAATGTCTTATTATATACATGTATATACTTTGTTACATATTGGGTTACATCAATTTAAATCTTTTTTAAATAACAATTAATGTTTTAGCAATAATTTAAATTATATTACTTTATATGTAGGATGCTACATAAAAAGAATATTTTTATTTTTATTTTAAATTACACGATATTAAATAAACAGATATTTTCTCTTAACTCGCTGTGAATCTTTCGAAATAGTTTAATAATTAACCATGTTAAGTGAGTACTGGTATTGATGTTGTGTATAGTAATAATAGTATACAATGTAGTATCCATGGAAATTACTAGATGTTCCTGCAGTTATTTCTGTTCTTTATCCAGCATACATTTTCTAAATGTTTTAATGATTAAATGTTCATATCAAATACCAATGTCTGAAGTAATATGAATGTACTGGTATGTTGCAATTAGTTCGTAATGTGCAATAAAAATACCCTGTGAGTTTTCTCTCATAATTTTTAAAAATCTAGTCATTTTATGAAAACCTGTAGGCGTGGGAATATACTTTATTAACGTTAGTCATGCCCATTTTTAATAAATTTTTTATTACTGTATATTTGAAGGAAATTAGATTGATACAGTTATTTTGATTCAGATCAGAGGTAAGCATGTCACAAAAAACATCATCAAACTTTAATTTTCCATGCTGAAGATCTTAGTGAAAACTACAGATGTAATTTTTTTCCTTATGTTCTGTCTATAACTTATATTAAAAAAACATTTTTTAAATTTTATATAATTTAGAATTATTAGTACTAATACATCATCAATTATCCAGGTTTTTTATTATTCTGATTTACCCCTGGTCATTTTTACTCTGGGTATAACTGAGTTTCTAAAATAGATATATATTTTATTCAGTAAAATTTACAATATAATCCTGGGTATCTTTGTTTTTTAAAAACTTTTCTTATCACTCAGACGGATACAATTATGGCTCCATTTGCATGTTGATTATGCTGACGACAAATAATCTAAGCCAATGAACGCATTGAAAGAGATGCAATCGCATATTACAGTTATAGAGAAGACCTACTTGATTAAATTATTTTTATTTATTTTATGTTACTTCTAATCCATAATCCTTTTTAAAAATGACTTCATAACTACATAATTTATTTACATCCTTGTCTCTTTAACTTTAACATTTTCAAAAAATGAGTCTTGAACTTGAAATATTTGACAACTATTTTGTCCATCTCAGTATACAACTATTTAATATTTTTTGTTGTGCATGATTCTACCGGGTATATTGGATTTGAATATCAGGTACCAAGTATTTCAAAATTGCATGTGTATCATAATCATATGCAGTGGCAAGAATTATTAAATATGTTGCCATGCATGCTGAAAAAACCAACTTTAAATTTGCAACCATTCCTAGCTTCAGAATAATTTTATCACATCGTACATGACATTGTAGTTGTTTATGGTCATACAATTAATTTATTAACGGTAATCGATCTCTGCTGACGCTGCATTAGCTAAGTTTTAATTGGATAAAATGGAGCCCCAAAAATTATTACAGAATATGTGCTCTTTTCCTTATTCCTTTCTTTCCCTTCTCTCCTTTTTTTGTTTTGTTTGCTTATTAACAAACACCCCCCCCCACAACCCCCCCCCCCCCCTCTTTTTCTCCCTCTTTCTCTCTCTCCACATGACGTTATTTATGCATGGCTCTTGTGCCCAGTTCTGTGAAACTAACTCCGAATAGGACTACTAGGAAAAAAACAACATAATAATAAATTTGGAGCAAATAAAGACAAAGATTGCAGATTGCGTAATGTAAAAATATTTTTTCTCTTTTTAAAATATATATTTTTTAAAGTTTACCTTCACTACACGTTGTTTAGATTGTGAAATTATCTGTGAGCATACATCAATATTTGTAAATCAGGCTCGCTGTTATTTTTTGCTTTATCTTATTGCCATCAACTGCAGATTCAAATTACCAGACAAACCAGTATATTAAAAGCAGATATCTCTGGATAAATTTTTCATTTAATTCTGATATAGGTACCAGAATGAAATTTTAATTCTAATGCAATGTACAGTAAGATGTTTTTAGCCATATTCAAAGGATTTAAATGTAGTGTGACTCAATGTAAGAAAACTGTGATTAGTAGTTGCCAATAATATGTCATTTTTACCTTTCAGAATGTTCCAAAAGCAAATTTTGCTTGAAATCTTTTTTTTTCTTTCTTTCTTTTTTTTTTTTTTTTTTTTTTTTTTTAAAATTTTTTTTTTGGCTAAGGTTTTTTTTTTTTTATTTTTTTTGAATTTTTTTTTTTTTTTTTTTTTTTTTTTTTTTTTTTTTGCTTAGTGTTAAAAGTCTTTCTATGGCATAGGATTTATTTTATTTGAAATCCAAAGGCTTATTTTAAGATAAAAGCATGACAACATTCCAAGGCCATAGGTGTCATTATTTTATTTAAATATTTGTTTGTTTTCATTTATATAACCTACTGTTTAGAATATAAATTTGAAGAGAACTCATTTTAATCAGGGATTCTCATTATTTCTCTAACTTCCCCACCCCTTATCTTCTACTTCTATTTTCGTAAATTATTTCCTTTTATTACTAGAGAATTGTGAGTGGCTTAAAATGTATGGTAAGTTCCTTATACAACCTTTTCTTGATATTACAGCATTAACTGCATTTGCTACTCAGTGGTAGGCTAATAGAGTGTTTGTAGATATTTTGAGTTTCAATTTATCGGTAGGCCCCATACTATTACTATTATTACTATTACTGGTTTTAGGGTAGTTCTTAAAAAAGTTTGGGAATCACTTTTTATTTAATTTTATATTTCAAAGTAGGGTATTATTCAAATAAACCACTCTGTATATGAAGCCTAATTGTTGACTTTTTTTTTTCATTCACATTGCATTAATTTAAATAAAAATCAATTTTTAAAAATGTATGAAATAAATGATTTTGATTCAAATTTGTACTGTCTATTCTGTATGTATGTAATTTTGTCATTTACAAAACTGAATAAAATATATTTGGTGAGGTTTCAAAAATAGATTATAAACAGTAAACGTTATTTAGGTAAAAGTGGGAAGGAAAGAAATAAAAGAAAAAAGGTAAAATAAGGGGACACCCGGGTTTGAACCGGGGACCTCTCGATCTGCAGTCGAATGCTCTACCACTGAGCTATATCCCCATACCACGTGGAGGAAAAATATGCTTTATAATAATAAAAAATTCTGAAATTGTGTTATAAAATATTTTTGTTTTGTTTTTATTATAATCACGAGTAAATAAGGTTAAAAATTATATTCGATAGTATCTAAGGTAAGATGATTAAATGAGCAAATATTTTTTTTTTCGTTGCTAGGTAACCTTACCGCTTTTACTTCCGGTTATTTCAATATGGCTTCTTGTTGTTGTTTAAGAACAGTTACAGTGTGAGTGCGTACGATCTCCTAAAGCTTAACTTGTAGTGAAGGTACACATGGACAACATTTTTTTTTAAAGGAGAATAAATATGTTTAAATTACGCATTCTGAAAATCTTTTTATCTTTATGTAATCAATTTTTATTGTTGTGATTTTTAGTCATTATAGTCGTATGTGAAATAAAATAGCTTGTGATACACACATTCATTCACAGAACTTAGGACGGGATAGATACTTACGGTATACCGATACTAACTAGATAGGGGCCATCATACACAGTTTTATGAGTATGTGTTTCGAGGGGAGTGGCTATAAGCAACGTGATGCCACATTAAAAAAGTAACTAGTCTTGAAAAAATTGGGTAGCACTTAGACTTAGGGGCGATCCATAACATCAAGCAAATTTTGCCGATTTTTAACCCCCCTCCCCCCATCATCACAAACCTCTACACCGCCAACCCCTAAAAAAATCCATCTGTCCACTACTGTCCTTTATAACGCTAAAAAATGACCTACCATGGATATCGAAAAACTGAACTTGTGTCAGGAGCATTTCCCTCTAGACTGTCTAAGACACATAGAGTCTAGAACAGTAGTACTTAAATAAAGGTGAAAGCACCCCTTGTAGTGTGGAAGACTCAGAAAAGTTAAAATAAGTTTTTATGCATTTTGAATAGCAGCAGTACAAAAATTTCTGGTGAGTTTAGTTTGCAGATTACTTGTACTAATAGTATTGGTAATTTTTTCTTGTAAATAGAATAAAGAAACAAATAAATAAATTTTACAAATAAATTATATAATTACTTTCATTTTACAAATGTTATAACTATTTAATATATATATATTGTTTGGGGGGTGTCTAGAAG